CCACAAGATTGTCGAGACCCAATAAGTGTAGCGTCGTCAATACACCACGACACGCTTCCGACACGGGCGAGCGATCAACAAACAAATGCTGCCAGATTATTGTGGCCTGTTCTTCCTTCGAATACAAATTAAACTCTTCTACTTGCAACTGGGATGTCTGCAGAAACTCTGCCACAAGATAATGGTACGTAAGCAGTTCGTTGATGCCCCAAAGCATGAGTTTGCCATGACTTGGAGGAAACAAATGTGTGTGTACATCAATAATTTGGACCCTTGCGACAGCTTCACGTACAAAAATGGCCACCTCTTTCCTAGTGGCTAGATATTCACTCGCATTATGATTGCGAAGTATATCATCAAGTGTCTCCAGGGCCGCCCGCTTCCCAGACACGATACGTTGGTACAAAGCGGCAACGTCAGTAGCAAAAGAAGCGTACACGTCATTCGTGAGGTCAAAGCCCTTGACAAAGCTGAGCACGCTGGCAATGGCTACACCAACACCACTCGATACTTCAGAGCAGGACTCAGAGCTTGCCGACTCCGAAGACTTGTTGCTACCACTTCGACCGGCGCTAAAGATTTTTTGGCTAGTCTTCCAAAGCGTTTTAGCAGTATGGCCCTTTTCACCATCCATGAACTCGTACTTGCCCGTCGAAATGTTCGCACTCAATCCATTTGCATATACCCAAGTCTTTTCCGTCGTCGAGTAGATTGGCAAACGGTCTTGAATATTATCCATTGCACCCACGAAAATTTCAGATCCATTACCACTTTCTTTTCGTGAGTCAGTTTGGGTTGGGGTCAAATACCTCAAAATTACAGCTGTTGCGAAAGCCATGAACACGCTAGGGCGATACGACTCATCCCGAGTCACCATCGCCTCCACACTACTGAATAAACGAACGCCATACTTAAGCATGGCATTCTGGCCAACCCAAAATGGGTCAAGTCCAAAATGTTCATGCTCTACACGATCCATCCACTCATCGTATGCGAGTTGTGCCTTTTCCTTGCTCACACCACGAAGCACAAGCGATGGCGCAATGTCCTTGGTGTATAACAAATCAAGAAATTGACGAATTTGAGGATACTTTAACACATCGCATGTAGTCTTCACTCGCGTTACAGCCAACAAATACACCATGGCAGTATGCACAGCATTGGCAATACTCAATTTTAGCAAATGGTCTTTTTCTAACTCGCCAGCGGTCGTGCGGATGTGCACACCTGGTAAGGAGCTCAGCACTTCGGCATCCAAAACTTTCTGAAGATCTTCAATTACAAGTGCCTTCGTAGGCCAAGGCTCCGTCAATGGCACGAGGGATTCATTCGCTCGATGCGACGTCAGACGATCGACCATTGTGTTATGAAAATACACATTGGAAGTCACATAAGCATGAAACGAAGCGAGATCATTCGGCTGACCCTTCCACTCTGTCTCCAGCACTAGCTTCTTAATAGTATCACCATTCCTTGGCAAATTGTCCGTATTGATAACCGAAATGACGTTATCTGTAAGATATCGTAACAATACAAACGTAAGTTGCCAGTCTCTTGTTTTAAAAAGGTAAATAAACGTACTTGGTACTTTTAAAAAACAGTTATAAAGCAGCTCGGTAAGGTCAACAATAGCGGAACTTCCTTTGACAATGCCACTTTCTGTCACGCCAAAACCGATAAACTTGAGCTTGGCTAGTTTAGCTGGCAATTGCATGAAGGCCGCGCGGCCTTCGGCATCACCCAATGACCCGACGGCCTCAACCTCAACGATTTCAGTCTGTACGCTTCCATCCTTCTGGATCGTGTCCACTTCATACTTACCATTGGCTTTGGCACAGAGAGTTGCAAAATCCGTTCCCCGCGTTTGGGCTAGCACCACACCACTGCCAGCCGCACGTAGAGTCGGCACAAGTACACAGCGCTAAATAATGTGGCAGGTCATCCGGTAAGAATAATTCTAACTGCATGAAACATATATTGTATCTCGGCAAACCAGAAAGCGACCCGTGCCGATGCAGATGGCATTGGTCTTGTCAGAAAAGGTGGCTTGACCTCGTTGCGGAATGAACATATTACTGTTTGAGTTTAGATTGTAAATGATGTTCAACTCGAGATCCAGATAAAGACGATGCAGCAATTTTCGAGCAGATCTGACAGGGTATGGAAATCTGAGAAACCGCTGGATTTACACGTATCTTGAAGTATCAGGTCTGATGATGCTGTTGGTTCAGGTTGACCCGAGGCGTTCATCACAAATTGTACTTGTCTATGTTATTATCTTCTATAAAGCGTTATCGACAACATGGTTATGATTGCAGTTGATGCTGACGTTGATGTTGCAGCATCAACTTCAAGCATATGCATGAGACTTTAGGCTGGATGTTACTAGAAAGATGAACCAGGATCAGTCATATATATTCAATTTTAAAATTTCCTCTGACCCCACCACACCTGCACTCCAGCCCAACGCACAATGTTGAGG